TCTGTTGCTATCCTTATTCCAGTTCATGAATATACTGACAAGCTTGTATACGAAAGCATCAGGACAGCACCTACTGGTCTCTCAAAGGTTCATTTTTATTCAGAATTTTTTTTCCTCGCAGTGACCAACTGATGTCTCATAAGCAGGAAGTAGAGACTACCTGGACTGAGTAGAGACTACTTGGACCGAGATGCCTTACACACGGTCACCCATGCAGTCGTCACCTCCCGAATCAACTATTGCAATGCTCTCTACATGGGGCTGCCCTTGAAAACCACTCAGAGGCTTCAGCTGGTGCAGAATGCGGCCGCGTGGGTAGTGATGAGAGTGTCCTGATGCTCCCATGTCACACCCCTCCTGCGGGACCTGCATTGGCTACCGGTTGCCCTCCGGGTGAGGTTCAAGGTGTTGGTGATGACCTATAAAGCCCTACATGGCTTAGGCCCGGGGTATCTGGCGGATCACTTGCAGTCAGCAACAGCTCCCCATCGCCCGGTGCGCTCATACAGAGAGGGCCTACTTGGAGTTCCGTTGGCCAAGCAATGTCGGCTGACAGCCCCTAGAGAGCGAGTCTTCTCTGTAGGTGCACCTACCCTCTGGAATCAGCTCCCCTTGGAACTCCGGGTGGCCCCTGACCTTCGCTCTTTCCGTCCTGACCTTAAAACATGGTTGTTTCGCCAGGCTGGTCTGGACTGAAGGGGTTTTAATGGGAATTTTAGATTTCTTTTATTGTTTGAATTTTAATTTGGACTTGTTGTTGCTTATTGCTGTGAGCCGCCCTGAGTCCTTGTGGAGAAAGGGCGGCATATTAAGTCTGATAAATAAATAAATAAATAAATAAATAAATAAATAAATAAATAAATAATGTTTTTCCAAATTATGCATATTTTGCTGTCTTCCATGCTTCCAGGACTATTTTTGAACTATTGATAAGATTCAGTACTGTTTTATTTCTGATGCTATTTTTTTTTCCACGTAAAGAAGAGAAAGCAGCTGTCCACACATACCGTTTCCATTTATAACCATAAAAAGAAGAATGGTGGGCTGAAATATTTACTTGGGTCAGATTTTTAATCAAAACGTCCCAAAGTAAAAATGTTCCTCTTCATAGGTTGTTTCTATCAAAATATTATGAATTGTGAGAAGTATTTAATTTGAATGGTTTTAATTAATATTTACAAATAGTGGAATGTTTTTAATTAAATATTCTCAAAACATTTCCCATTTCTGCTAAGGAGAACTCTCCAGAGCATATTTTTCCTCTCGGTTTTAGTGCACAAAACTCCTATTAACATTAGAAAGATTTCTCCATGCAGAACAAGAATGGAATATGAAATGAAAAAGCTTGCTGGAAATATTTTATGAGCAATTTGCCCTTACAGTTTTATTACTTCATAGTTGAAGGAAGTAAGATTTCAACATAAATAACAAAATAACAGAGTTGGAGGGGACCTTGGAGATGTTTCTGCCCTACTCAAGCAGGAGACCCAATGCCATTCCAAATGGCTGTCCAGTCTGTTCTTAAAAGCCTCCAGTGATGGAGTGCCCATAACTTCTGAAGGCAAGGTGTTACACCGGTTAATTGTTCTCGCTGTTAGGAAGTTTCTCCTTAGTTCTAGGTTGCTTTCTCTCCTTTATTAGTTTCCATCTATTGTTTCTTGTCTTGCCATTCTTGACTTTATTTGAAAGATAAAAGGGGATCCTGTTCTGATCCAGATTAAAACATAATCATGGGAAATCTTCTCATTTTAAGAGAATTAAAGAGAACCACTCTTCAGATTTAATTGATCAATTTTCAAATCAACCTCTTACAAAAAGTAGATTGAAAGACAAAAATACCCACCATATCTGGAGAAAACCAGGAAACTCACTGAACTCACCTCATTCAAAAATAAGCACATAGTACTGTAAATGAAATGTATTTTTATATTAGATTTCTTAAATAAATATTGCAGTTTCTAGGATAACTGCTTCAAACATTATTTTGAGAATGGTTCTTAACCTGGAAAAAATCCTTCGGTTCATGGTAGAACTTTTAATCTATGTTCTAAAATTCCAATATATTCCTAGGGAGAATCTTAGATTTCTTGCTTCTTTTTTAAAAGTGTGAAAGAGGAAAATGAAAAATCTTCCTTGGTTTAAAGTTTTCCAGCACATCAAAGTTAAAGATCTTAGTAAAATAATCTTTAAAAGACTTTTCATCCAATGGAAATATTATTTGAAAATAAGCACAAATTCTGGTGAAAAAAATTTAACTGTCACATTTTTTTTTAAAAGAGGAGCATACTGACATAATATTAACAGCCATAAATATTTATGATTCCTGAAAAAGAACATAACCTTAGTTCATAGCCTTCCTCAGTCACATGAGTTTTAAAATGAGGTATACATTATATTTGGTCATCACAATATAAAATATATGTTAAGACTCTGGAAAGAATGCAGAAAAGAGCAACAAAAATATTTGAGGGGCTGGAGGTTAAAACATATGAAGAACAGTTGCTGGAACTGAGTGTGTCTAGTTTAATAAAACAAAGGACTGCGGGTGACATGGTAACAGTGTTCCAATATTTGAGGGGCAGCCACAAAGAAGATGGAGCTAAGCTATTCTCCAAAGCACCAGAAGGTAAGAGAAGAAATAATGTATGGAAACTAATCATGGATAGAAACAACCTTGAACTAAGGAGAAACTTCCAAACAGTGAGAACAATTAACTAGTAGAACAACTTGCCTCAAAAGTTGTGGGTGCTCCATAACTGCAGATTTTTAAGAAGAGATTGGATAGCTGGATTGAGAGGAGGTTGGACGAGAAGACTCCAGGATCCCTTCCAACTCTATTATTCTATTAGGTTATTCAACAACAACAACAAAATTCTTACTATTGAAAATAAAAATGTTGGATGACACTTAGACAATCTGTGCATTGTCAAAATTTCCATCTGTCAAATGCAAATCCATATTACTTGGATCTGCACATATACCAATACATTGCACCAATGTATTGGTATACATTGCAACATCTTCATTTTTGGAATGAATTTGATGTGTAGGAAGGCCCCTCACCAGCTAGAACAGGCAACTGTGATTTCATAGTGCTGTGTATATAATAATAATTCAGCAGTTTAAATGAAAACACTTAGGAGTTTATTAGCATTATACACAATTTGGACTGCCCTGCAAATTTTCTAAAGGACAGCTTTTCTGCAGCATTTATTAAAAGGTAAATATTTATTTACTGGAAGGAACAAAAATTATTCTTTCAAGGGGGTTAGTCATGCTTTAACTGCTCATAGTGTCTAATGAAGTAAAAGGATGGATTGATGAGTTTGGGTGGGATAAATTACTACAATTGCTAGATGCAATTACAATTTACAGTACGTTCATAGTCTCTTGGCAAATAGCCTTAATTAATGGATTGGGTCTAATTATTTGTGCTTGTGGCCTAGAATTGCATCTCAGGTGAAAAATAATTGGTTGAAAGTATAAATCTGGTTAATGTTCTTCATTGTAATTAGTTGTGGGAATTCATATTTTAAGAACAAATGCAGTTGCTTAAGCAAGATAAATTTTTGTATGCTTGGGTCAGTTTAACACTATCTAATTCAGCTCCATGTTCTCCTTTATCATGTTATCAATGGGCATGTGTAAATTAATAAAATATGGGAAAAATCCATTTTGAACTGCACTCAGAAATCTGCAAAAAACATACTTTATTCACAAAAAAGAATCTTGAGAAGCAATTAAGTACATTCATTTCAAGTTTTTCTTTTAAATGAATTTAAGTTTTAGGTCTCAAAGAAAAAAAAAATACCTGGACTTTCTCTTTTTTTAGGATTTAGGAATTGTGTTAATCATTGTGCATTTATTTCTATACTCTACACCATTTCCCATCAAAGGTAATATCTGTAACATTTTGGCTGGCCTCAACTAACTTGATCTTTGACTAAATAGCATGAATTCCATTTTTAAATAGAAGTGTAAATTTTAATATGGTAGCTTGTCTTATTCATATGTTAATCTACCCTTCACATGTTTGGGACAGCCTTATTATAACCATATACTATAGAATTGACTATTCCTAGTTCTCATGATGATTTTTAAACTGCTTTTCATCAAAGGGAGGGGGGGAGGAAGCATCGTTCACAATGGCAAGACTTGGTAATAAGATTAAATATTCAAATACTATGCAATATATTGCTCTTGTTGCTGAACATGAAAATCTGATGTCCTATCTGGAATAATTGTCCTCTCTTCCAAGTTTTAAAATAGAGATGTTAATTTAAAATAGTAATCAATTAAAAGGGTACTTTATGAGAAGAACTTTAAAATCAATAGGACCATGAGCTAAATTCCAGGCTTTGCTCAACGGACAGGACAGGAAACAATTGGGAAAATTCTAATAATTCAAGAATCTCTAATAAGTTATTTTTACTGGAGAAAAATGAGAGAGTTGTAATAGGAAGATTATAGGGTCTTTTGCTTGAGCCAGAGATTGGGCTAGAACTCTGTGTAACTTTCTATGTAATTTTCAGAGTATTCCAATGTCTGTTGTGTTTCTAGAGGGCAAATTCAATAGTGAATTTGCCTGAAATTCTTTTTCCATTTCATGTAAGAATGTGTACTTTTTTTAAAAAAAAGGTGTACATCTGTTAAAGCTGAATACAAAATATACTGAATACAATATACACGGAAAACAAAGAGAAAATTTGGTTTATAATTTTAGAAAATTGCTGATAATGAAATACATAATTATAAAAAATAAATTGATTTTTTTAATAAATAAATATAAATAAATTGGCACCTTTAAGGAAACACAAACTGCAGCACCATGTGGAATCTAAGCTAATGGAAACACAACAGAAAGGAATAGTATGCAATATCTTGAGAAAGAGATAATTGGTTGGGTATTGGCTGGTACATAAGAGCATCTTAAACAGCAGTGTTAAGTTGTGAACTATGAGCTCTAGTTATAATTCTTTTTCTTTTCTTTTCTTTCATAGAGTTACAGAGCAGTTCTTGTGGAAATCCTGGAACTCCATCCAAAGGTATTTTATCTGGAACGCGTTTTGATGTTGGTGACAAAATCCGATATAACTGTGTGACTGGCTACATACTGGATGGTCATCCTCAGCTTACCTGTATTTCCAGTTCAGTAAATACAGCATCCTGGGACTTTCCAGTTCCTATCTGTAGAGGTAAGTTGAACATCCAATAAAATCTAATATAAAACCAATATTCACTATAAAAATACTGATATTAAATGTTAAAAAGTTTAATTTGTGAAACTTTTATTAGAACTAGGAGGGTGGGCTTTACGGTACTGGGTATTTATTAAAAATGCAGTTACTGATATGACTGTAATGCATGTTTGATTTATAACCTGGATGACAAATAATATAGAGCTGAATCAAGGTAAATATGTTATTTGTAAAGTCATAATTTTGAAGGAAGCGACAGGCCTTTCCATTTAGAAGACATATTTCTTCTAAATATATCTTCCAAAAGGAGCTCTAATATTAAACGGACCTAAAAGATTTGGGAACACGGTGGCTCAGTGGCTAAAACGCTGAGCTTGTTGATCAGAAAGGTCTGCAGTTTGGCGGTTCGAATCCCCAGTGCCGCGTAACGGAGTGAGCTCCCGTTACTTGTCCCAGCTTCTGCCAATCTAGCAGTTTGAAAGCATGTAAAAATGCAAGTAGAAAAATAGGGACCACCTTGGTGGGAAGGTAACAGTGTTCCATGTGCCTTCAGCGTTTAGTCATGTTGACCACACAACCATGGAATTGTCATCAGACAGTGGCTTAGAAACGGAGATAAGCACCATCCCCTAGAGTCGGGAATGAGTAGCACGTATGTGCGAGGGGAACCTTTATCTTTACCTTTAAAAGATTTGGATTCAAGTTGTCTGAAATATATTTTTTTCTGGATGATTCTTCTCTATGCGGATTAAAGTTGTTTGGGGATATTCATCTACAAATGCAACAAACTTGTATAGAATTAAAATTCTTCTGTAGCTATCATAATTTCTAGAAGGTACAAATTAAAAAAGAAACTTTTTTCCCGCCCTTTGGCATTTAGTTGGATGACATTTGACTGAGAGTAAAGCACACTCTACACAAAGGGATTATTTCTAAGTAGGCACACATTAGATTGTATGGTTAATCATTGCTAGATCATTAGATCTAGCATAGATATGCTAGTTCATTAATTATGCAAAAGATAAACTGGAAACTAAATTGCAAAAGAAAAGATAATATTTGGGGAAAGAAGAAGACATACCGTTGGAATGTATAATACTAAAAAAAACAAAAAAAAAACACCCTAATATGAACTCCTCATAGAAGAAGAGAGTTGAAGAATATCTATTAGGAAATTCTGAGTTACATAACCACCGTATGTAAGAGATTATGTAACTCTTCCTATTAAGTTTTATGGTTGTTCTTGTTGCTTTTGAAATTATATTCTGCATTGGTTTTCCTAGGGAAAGGGTCCTGAACACATGATAGAGCTTAAATAATGCATTGAGCAAGCTTTGGCTCCAAGCAATCTATTTATGTTATTTTAAATACTGGTGAAATAGTGGTTGACCTTGAAGTGTCTTCTTACAGCCAACAATTCATTGTGCAATTCCAACTTTCCTTTGCATGGCAACCTGTGGGAAAACAGTACATCTTCAGAGCATCCAAGTGAAGCAGTGAAAGCAACTGCTACAGACCTATGTATGAAACAAAGTTTAGTTTAAAGTACTGCAGAGTTTTGATTGAAGTACAATCCCAAGAGGGTTCCCCCCCCCTCCAATATTTGGTGTTCTTTACTGGAGAATTGATTTTCTTGAACAAAGATAGAGACAGAAGGGACAGTAAGAGTGTAACACTGATGGAGATCTAATGAAAGGAAGCTGGAGTCTAAAAATTCTTATCATTGCCTGGTCACATGGAAAATTTACTGTATTAATATTCCCTGCTTACATTCATGTGCAATAAAAGAAAATATATTATATAAGGCTTTCGAACATGGAGTGTTTTAAGAATACATAGCAATTGCATTTGAGGATAACTTTACCATTGGGGTCCTACTGCATCAAAATGGAGAATCCCAGCACACTGTCTAGTTAATAAATTACAATAATGATATGAATAAATAATTGTTACTGTTCTTTTGGTTCACCCAAAATTTACTGTCTGAGGGGACTTCTCCTCAGGCTCTGAATCAGCTTCTCCAGGCTCTGAATCTTCCATGTTTGCTAAGAAAGTCTTTGGTCTTTGCACCAAACACAGCATAAAAAATGGTTCTCTCTGATCTGATTTAAATCAATGGTGAAATCCTACCAATTCACACCAGTTTGGGCGAATTGGTAGTGATAAAAGCTACCAGTTTGGCAAACTGGTAGTAAAAAATAAAAGCTACCAGTTGGTCCGAACTGGTATTTCTGACAATCAGCTGTGCTGCACGATTTAAAATCACTAGAAAGCAGGAAATCCTATTTTCTAGTGAATCTAAATTGCACAGCACAGTTTTTCCCCCCCTCACTGTTCTACTTACCTTCCCAATCCTCCTTTTTCTGCGCACAGCGTGTGTTTGGCACATATTGTACATGCGTGCACACTTAGTGTGCATTTAGCATGCATTGTGATGCACGCACACGTGTGCATTTAGCATGCATTGTGCATGCGCGCACAGCTTGGGGAATTTGCTGTGTCTGTCAGCAATCACGTAAAATATCTGGTCAATGAGTGGGCCAAAAAGAATAACTTAGTTGCTTGATACTATTATTCTTAAGTGCCTTCCTCCCTGTAGTAGAGCTCAAACTGTTTATGAGAAAATTGAGAACAACAGAAGATAAGTAGGGGGTTGGCGTGTGAATGGAGAACTTTTGCAGTGAATCAGATTGAACACAGAATGGGCCCTTTGTCAGTTCCATTTGAAGTCCCACTACACAGCAGTAAATGCAGCTAAGTTTGTGCAGAATGAACCAATGATATTTTCCCATACTGTGTGACATCTGTTCCATATGCAATGCTGTGGGAACATAGCTGGGAAAATTGTAAGCTTGTTGTGAACAATTTGTACCATCCTTTACAGACAAGGTCAATTGGATTCAATTATTTCTGGATACCACTGTTGGGACAGGTCATCGGGAGATGACCTTGGCAACTGCTTGATAGGTTCCTGGCTATTGTTTTTAGCTTTTAGGTCTCAAAGACATAAGATATGTCAAGAGATGACACCATCAGTGACTTGTGTTACTCTTTCCATTTCTGTCTGACTAAATTGACCAGGTTGGGATAAACCCACAAGTGAAGCAGGTGAGCAGTGCTTTCTTGAGTTTAAGTTGGGTTACTTCCTGCAGATTTTTCAGATTATAACTCAGTTTCAGATACAGGTAGTCCTCGATTTATGACCACAATGGACCCCAAACTTTATGTTGCTAAGTGAGAAATTTGTTAAGTGAATTCTTACCCATTTTTCTTGCCACATTTGTTAAGTGAATCACCGCAATTGTTAAATTAGTAAACGTAGTTGTTAAATGAATCTGGCTTCCCCATTGACTTTGCTTGCCAGAAGGTCACCAAAAAGACCTTCTGAAGGTGTCAGAAGGACACCGGAACACTGCAACCATAATAAATATGAACAAGTTGTCAAGCATCTGAGTTTTGATCATGTGACCATGGGGATGCTGCAATAGTCATAAGTGTGAAAAATGATCATAAGTCACTTTTTTCAGTGCCGTTGTAACTTTGAATGATCACTAAATGAACTGTTGTAATTCCAGGACTACCTGTTGTCAATTCTTGGGTAGCATGACTAAGAATGACGTAAATTTCAGATGAATACTTCAGATAAGTAGAAAAATCAGCGGTGAAAACATGGAGCTAATAATAAAAGAGAAGGGCATTTGGAGTATGTAATACATTGTAAGTGGTTTCACCATTATAGCAATTGCACTGGGTAAAAATGTATCTGATTTAAAAAAATTAAGCATGCTGTAGCTTGGGTTCGTGCAGCTCATCTGGGATCGTCAGAGGCTTTTAAAAGCATTTTTTCTACAACCTCTTCAGCCGAAGAGATTGTAGAAAAAATGCTTTTAAAAGCCTCTGATGATCCCAGCTGAGTTGCCTGATCGGCAGAGACATTTTTTTCCTTTAAAAGCCTCTGACGATCAGGCAACTCAGCTTTCTTTTTAAAAGAAAAAAAGCCTCTGCCAATCAGGCAACTCAGTTGGAATCGTCAGAGGCTTTTAAAAGCATTTTTTTACAACCTCTTCGGCCGAAGAGATTGTAGAAAAAATGGTTTTAAAAGTAAAAAAAAAAAAGTTGGCCATGCCCACCCAGTCACATTAGCCACCACCACCAAGCCACGCCCACAGAACCGGTAATAAGAAATTTTAGATTTCACCACTGATGAACCAACGATGCCACAAAAACCCAGGTAGTTTCTGAAGATTAAGTAGGCTGAGGTAACTTTGAGATGGAAGGAAGAAGATACAAATGCGTTGATAGTTTAGCTCTTTGGAAAAGGTAAAAGACAGAAAAACCAACTGTTCTCCTGATCACTAAAAAGACTGTGATTCCCTACATGTTAAAATCCCAAACACTAAGTATGTACTGATGAGAAATGAAATCATACAATGACAATTCAATTTCATAAAACTTTAATAAAACACACCAATTCATTTAATTCATTCTTTCTTAGAAACTGAACATATGAGGTATGAATTCAAACCATATATAATAAAATCCAGTTTAACGTCAGTACAACTTTCTGCCATACAAGATACAGGGATAGTTAATCCAGAATATTTGATCTAGATGCACAGTTTTAAGCCTAATCACAGTATCTGAAACTAATCTAGTTATCCAACCACTAGTAAATCTGGGTTTCAGTACTTCTGTCCTGAAATACAGGGTGGGGAATGATAATGAACATAATGACAAATAAACCATCACTTCATATTAATATTGCCTTTATTCAAAGGCATATGTTTAGTCACCATTAATAGGTGATACATCATTTATAGTCAATATAGATAGCATGCTGATATAGATAGATATGTTCAGCATCTTCTAGAATTGCCAATGTCCATTTAAATTATTGCAGTCTAGACTCATGAGAAATGCATACAAATAGCAATAGCACTTAGGTTTACAGTATATACCGCTTCATAGTGCTTTAAAGCCCTCTCTAAGCAGTTTGT